CCCACATGTCCCTTAGAATAATCTTGCTGGGATAATATGTCTTTTAGTTCTAAAAATATAAACGGCAGGATCTTAAAATATTTTTGGTTTTGTGTAACCATAGGTGCTAAGGTGGCCCTGTGGCTATCATATGCCTGAAGCAGCAAGTTTTTAAGTTTTGATAGCATTTAAACAAATTTAACTTTAAATTGTTTTCTAATTCCATTCACAGAGTTCGTTCATATTTGTTAGGACTACTTACAAATATTCTTATTGTTTGCTGCTATAAAAACTTATCTTTTAAAATGACACATTTTGTTATTTGGATGGTATGTTTATTCCCCTTAGTGCACAAATTAAACAAAGCTGTACGTCAGCTCTTACTCCAGTGTGACCAATTTACAACACTCCTTACATAAGATGATTAGACACAACTTAGTGAAGACTTAATGGTGGATGATTTTGACTTCATCATGAAATCAACACAACTTCATAAGACATAAACAGAACCTCAGAGAAAGTGACACTTACTGAAAGTGGATGTATTGGCTCATCAAAAACAGCCAGAGATCTATTTGCATATCTATAAAAGAAGAATGTGCATTTAAGAGATTAATTCAGGAATGGTTAATATCTTAGTAAAGTATCTGCTGGGAGTAGGGCATGGAGGGCGGAGGGAGATACTTCTTGTTTGCTTTGGTAAAATTTGTTCACCAAAACAGTTGTTGCCAGTTTTTCTCCTGGATCCTGGCCTTCAGAGGGTTTCTTGACCTGTTATTCATCAACACATCACGTTCTGAACTGGGAAGTCTTTTCTACATTGATGAGCCAGACTTGCCTTTAAATACTGACTCCCGCTAACAGGCAATGGTAAGAAGCTATGTCTATTTTTACTCCTCTAACCTCATGGTGGAGTGGAACACAGGAACATTTTAGGAAGCAGTAGTTGTTGGCAATAAGGATTTTAGAACTTTTTAGAATCCATTAAGATTTCCCAAATCTTTCTTTATTATACTATATGTTTGCTGAAGTAGTTTGAGCTACACACTTAATTGCCTTTTCATTTTAAAAGAAGGCAGTCTTTAATGAACTTTACAAACTAACACATTATGTGATTATTTAGGAAACCAGTGGTTTTCCTAATGTGGTCGGTGGACCCCTGAGATTCCCTAGGAGACCCATGATGTCAGAACTGGTTGTTGTTGTTGTTATTATAGGGTTTTGCTCTTTCCCCCAGGATGGAGCACAGTGGTACAAACCTGACTCACTGCAGGCTTGACTCCGTGGGCTCAAGCAATCCTCCTGCCTCAGCCTCCCAAGTAGCTGGGACAAAATGTCCATACCACCATGCCCAGCTGATCTTTTCTTTTTTGTTTTTTGTCTTTTTTGATAGATGGGGTCTTGCCACATTGCCCCGGCTGGTCTCAAACACCCAATTCAAAATAATTCTCCCACCTTGGCCTCCTAAATAGCTGGGATTACAGGTGTCAACCACCATGTATGGCCCAAACTGTTCTTACAAGAATACTAATTTAACCTGAGAAGCTGATTGAAAATAAAACACACAAATAATTTATTACTTTTAAAAAGTATTAAGACATTGATTGCTTTCTTCCTGTTCAACACTTGTAATGACTGTTTAAAAGCAAACGTGGGTAAAACTGATGGTTTCTCAGTATGAATAAGGGCAGTGGTACCGAATTATACCAGTATTCGTTCCACTCTTCACGGCCCCTTGCAGTTTGTATCAAAGAGCATGTTTCACTGAAGAATGTCCTTGATGAAACAGTAAAAATTAATGATGTTACTAAATCTTGGCCTCTCTTTTTAGTATCCTCAGTAGAAAGTTCACATAAAGCGCTTCTGCATACTGAAGTATGGTCATGTTAAAGAAAAGCACTTGTGATTAAATTGTGAGCTGAACAAGCCAATTTTTCACAGTACACCATTTGTATCTGAAAGTATAACTGACTGTTATCCATAAAATTAAGTCAAGTGAGTCTGTCATTTCAAGGAAAATAACAAGTATTTCTCTATAATAAAGCTAAAACTTTCAAGCTGAAAATCTCAACTTTGAAAACTCATACGTACTACTGTGAGCTTGAAGGCATCTCCATATTTGAAGACATTTTTATAATGGTGGTGATACTAATGAAAGTGAGTTTTTGACACTCTAAGTAAACCAAGTAGCCAATGCATAATATTGTAACAGCCAGTAAGGGGACAGATCCATTTATTGTACAAGAAAGCTCAGTGACTATTAGTGAACGAATTCATTGATATGTACAATCCTCTTATAGCTATTTTAATCAGTTAGCACTTCTGGAGTTTTGGTGGGGTTAAAGAATACCCACAGTAACCTGATAGCTTTATAAATACGCCTCTTTCCTACTGTATATTTGCATGAGGCTAGGGCATCTTTTTACTGCTTCTTTCCAAATGAATTGCAAACAAAGACATAAACAAATACACTTTGGAACCCTTAATAATTTAAAAGATTTTTACGAACCAAAAAACCCACAAACGATTTACTGTAGCACTGTAAAATAAGCACTCTACAGCTTATAATGTCTAGAGTTAGGACCTGACAGCGTGTTGCATATGACACAAAGTGATGAGCTGGAATAAGAAGACAGGTTTCAAAGAGCTCACCTGTGCTTTATGTTGTAACATATTGCCATGGTCACACTGTGGAGAAAAACAAAAGTTGTAAGAACTGATTTTATCATTTGTTAGGTCTGAAGATATATTTCCAAAGGCGGGGGAGGGAACCCTCTCAGTGGCCCTGGAATCGTGTATTCAAAACAATATCATGTGAGCACTTTTCTTTTGTTTTAGTCCTCTGGCTCTACAGCAAAAACAGGAGAACCAAAATACTACGCAAAAGGCTGATAGAAGACTTGCGTCTGCAGATGGTTCTTAGGTATAAATGATGACATATTCTCCCTGTCATTTGCTCTTCTGCCCATAGAACCTTTCATTCTGTGCAAGTTACTTATATCTATGTGTTCATATGCTTACATTTAGGCCAGACAGTAGTGTTTTGCTTTTTAAGTTGCTAGGCCCTGCATTTCAGCTGATTTAGTACTCACCCATTTGTCATTATTTCCCTAAAAGCACAGAATGAATGTGCTTTATACCAAACAAAGTAATTTAAAATCGCCTATGCATGATTAGTAGAAAATTTATTAGTAAACAGCATAACGCATCCAAAAATCGATGACACTTGTAGCTCTCCTAAAATAAGCAGTACTAAACACACAGCGTAACACCACATCATACAATATTAATGACAGGTACTTTACATTAGTTTAAAGAAAGTATGAATGAACAAATACAACTCTTTGGATGTATGTTACTGTGTTACAAAGACATCCACAGATGTTGTGTGTCAGGAAACAGGGGCTTTTCTTTGATAAGGTCTGTCCTTCCATTCACCCTCAACATTTAAAATGAGGCTGAGAATAATTTGAGAAGGCAAATTGGAGTTGTAAAAAGTAGGCCTTACAACATTATTAGCATCTAAGAGAGATATTTCTATAGTGCTTCCAACAGTGTCATCTCCAAATTATAAGATCACAGAATTTGAAGTTACATGCTGACAAGGACCACCAAACCTCACGTGACACTCCATGCACCGCCCATTTTACAGTTAAGAGAACCAAGGCTTAAGACGGATTCACCCAAGGTCCCTGAACAGTGCTCCTGTGAACTGCAGGTGTTCAGAAAACACTACGGTGTGGTATAAATTGAAGCATATGCACACATAGATAGAAATGACTCGCACAGATGAAAGGCTTTATGGGTAGAAAGAAGAGCAAATGACAGGGAAAACCTGTAATTTTTATGTTAGAACCATCACTTTTTCACACAAAGGAAGCAGTAGCCTCCACATTTGCTGCACACTGGATCACCGGGGGAGCTTTAAACAGGACCTCAATGTCAGCTGGAGACATTCTGATTTAATTGGTGCTGGGCATGCTTTAGGCATCAGGGTTGTCGGTAAAGTTCCCCAGGTCATTCCAATGTGCAGCAAAGTTGGGAATGACTGAATTAGGGTGAAGATCAGAATCATCTGGGATGCTTTTATCCATATAATGATGTCTCACATACTTCCTCATTTTCCTAAAAGGCTTGTGAGTGTCCAGAGCCGGAGGGAAGGTGGAGCTGGGAAGATGCATGTGTTTGCAGACATATGTTTTGAAGAAACAGTATAAGTGATTCTAATATGGCTCACTTCTTCCATTGAGAACAATGCTCTACTAACCATGAAATACGTTTTTCAAAATCTTTCCTAAAAGCCAATTTTCTATATTAACTTGCTCAGTAAACCTTTCTTTCATCAAAAGCAAATATACCAAATAATCCCTTCTAAAACTGGAGAGTAAATTAAAACTTACTATGCTTCAAAAATAGACTTCTAGTCCAGGCACGGAAGCTTATGCCTATAATCACAGCATTTTGGGAGGCTGACTTGGGTGTATTGCTTGAGCCCAGGAGGTTGAATCCAGCCTGGCGAACACGGCAAAACCCCTTCTCCAAAAATATATATTATTTTGTATATATATTTCAATTTTTAAAAAAATCTTGTAAAATTTAGACCACACTGAAAGAAAAAGTAGGACTTTCACTTGTTTGAACAAGGGCAAGCTTAAAAACTACTTTTGAATTGCATACTGAGACATTAGAATCTTTTGAAATCAGAAGAAGTCAGGGACTCTAGCCAAGAAAGAGTGGCTTTTTACTTAGGACTGAATACAAACATTAAGTGATGCCACCATACAGATCAAAGCTCAGGGCTTTAGACACAGGTGAAGTCCAGTTCTTGCTGAAACAGAATTGGATCTCAATTATTGTTATACATGAGAGAGGAAAGTCACATTATTAGGAGTATTAATGGCCATTTTTGATTAAAGTAGAAGTTACTAACAAATTAGCTTAAAACTAGTACATTAGAGACAAACTTAAGCTTGTAACTTAGTCGTGTTTATAGACTGGAAAGTGAAGTTAGGGATAAGGACATTAACATTCTGAGGTACCACTTGTCAAACTGTTTTCTGAATATCAACACTCATAATGGAAGGACATGTTAATAATATTTTTTGGACATCTCCATTGGAGCTGGCTTTTTAAAACAACTTGAAGCCATCTGTCAAGGGTGTTGTGAAAGGGCATCTCTGATTGTGGCCTATGATGTGCTGGTGCATGATGGGAAAATTTAAATGCAGATACACTATGGTGCCACTGGAGGACAAGCTGTTCCTTCTTCCAAGAGTAGTTCCCAAAGTAGTGCCCATCGTGCTAGGCCTATGGCCCATAAAGAACTACTAATTTTTCCTAGAAACATCCAATAAAAAGCACCTCTCCTGCCCATTAGGTTCAATACTGTCATAACAGAAATGCATCAGATAAAGAGCTGTGATTATTCTGGGATGGCTTATTTGCTAACTGGCTTTCCCTTTTACCACACAGTGTCTAAGATTAAAAAAATTCATCCTTAGGTCCTGAAAAATCCATATATCATTGACATCAGCTTCTTCAACTGCCTGCTGAAAAGGGCAACCAAATGGCTGAACTAACAGCGGATGGCCCGCATGCTTTTAGCATACGGGGGTCTGTCACTCAGCCCTTGGCAACCTCGTTGTACTCACCATCCTAATATTTGGCTGAGATCAGGCTTGCTGACTGTGCTGTTATCCAGGAGTATGGTGGAACACGAGCTGTATTTTCTATCAAGATGCCATGGAGGTATCTGAAGAAGAAGGAAGATAGAGAAAGACATCACAGTAGGATAAACTTACCAAAGTTTGGGTTTTTTCCCTTTGTCACAATGTCAAACAATAAGGCATTAAGGTATTTTTTATACCCCGTGACCTGTCCGAGTGTGGTATCATGTGCAGCTCTATGGGAAACTCATTGGAGGCTCTCGTCACAGATGATGTTTGAAAAATGGGTTATAAAATGCTGCCCTTGATATGACACTGATCATCAAACCTGGCAAGCCACTATTATAAATTCCCTTTATAAATAATGGGAAACATTTATAATGGAATTTCATGTTCTTTTTCTGATGCAGGAAAAAGCACTGAGATTTTCTATTTCTGTTATTCATTAACTGCAACAAAATATCATACATTAAATAATATTGACACAAGAGCATTTGATTGCAGTAAATGAAGACCTAATACTACATTTACTCCCTTACTAATCCTTAATGTGTGCATTCAAGAGAGAGTGCGATGGAACCAGTGTGTTAGAGCCAGAGAGTGTGCGTGCCAGAGCTGCTCAGTCACCAAACAAGTGAGGGGCCATAGGTCTCCCTGGGCCTGTTTCCTTGTGGGAGGATGGAAAAAGTACTGCTTTTAAGACTCTCTCACATCCAAAAATCAGATGATGAAAACGACTTTTGGAATGTAACTTTCACTTCATGTTTACATAAGACTGCTATGACACTACTCAAATGAGAACTTCTGAGAATACTCTGCATTCGTTTCAAAAGTTAATTGATTTCATTCTTTAAGTTATTTGATGCACATTATGGCACATTCCTGCCTCACTCGTGCTGCTCTCTGTCTGGAATATTTATTCCTTTCCCCCTTGTCCCAGCAAGCTTGACCTCATCCACCTTCTGGGATCCCTTTGCCTGCAGCCACACCACAAAACACTTCTGTTTTTGCGTACTCATCAGTCTAATTCACTGTGTGTTACATGCTACAATTGCCTGCAGGGCATCCCCCTCATGAGAAAGTGAGCCTCTCCAGGAGAGGGAGAACCCCTTCTCTCCTACCTGCAGCTGCTTAGCACAGAATGTGGGAGAAATTAAGGAGTTCAATAAGAGCTTGACCAATATTCAAGTCAGTTACAGTTTGGAAAGTAAATCTTCCTACAGATACAAATGAGTGAAAATTCATCCACAGTGCTATCAGAGATATGACAGTGAACCTTTTGAACCCTGTAGAAAATCAACTATCTCTAAAACACTTTCAAAATATCTATTCATTTGTTGAGAGTGCGATAGTCAATACGGAAACTGCCTCCATTATATTAAGTAAATGTTCCTGCTGGGCAGGTGAGGTGGTTTACTCCTGTAATCCCAACACTTTCATAGGCTGAGGTGAGTGGATCACATGGTCAGAAGTTCAAGACCAGGCTGGACAAGATGGTGAAACCCCATCTCTACTAAAAATACAAAAATTAGGCAGGTGTGGTGCTGGGTGGCTGTAATCCCAGCTGTTGAGGAGGCTAAGGCAGAGAATTGCTTGATTCCTGAAGGCGGAGGTTGGAGTCAGCTGAGACTGTGCCATTGCACTCCATCCTGGGTGACAGATCAGGACTCCATCTCAAATTTACAAAAGGGAAGTGAGAGAGAGAGAGAGAGAGAGAGAGAGAGAGAGAGAGAGAGAGAGAGACAGAGAGACAGAGACAGAGAGAGAGAGAGAGAGAGAGAGAAAGAGAGAGAGAGAAAGTGCTCTTGGCTAAAAATAATCCCAGTAGCCAAATGCCAATCACCAAATAGTTGAAAAGATCAACAGCTTTATTTAAAACCACAAAATACTGATTATTTTAACTGGAAAAAAAAATAACTCAGATGAGTTTTCTTTCCTCCTCTTAATATGCTTGTTTGCATCATAGTTATCACACTCTTCCATTAGGGTCTCTCGCAAACTCATTAAAGACACAACAGGGTTGGATCTACTACTAATCAGCCAGTATGAAAAAAAAGGCAGGGTACAGAGAAGATCTCGTGGTTGTTTATAAACCTAAGCTGCATTTAAACATTGCTAGTAGCCAACAATCCGAAATATCCATAGAGTCCAACAGCATTTTGCTGCTTTAGATGCTTTGTACTGCAAATTCACTTCTTTCTTAACCAAAATCCAAGATGTTTTTGAACAACATTACTATTTGAAGGACCAAATTACCCTTTAAGATAGAAATGTTTTAACTCCAGCAGAACTCTTATGTTTCTTAAGCTATTCTGTTATAGATTACATTAACAGTGTTATGTGATTATATGTGTATACTTTTGTTGTCTGCAAAAACAAATATGGCATAAAAAATAAAAATGGACTGATTCAGATACTTTCATTCAAAGGGAAAGAAGGTATCCCTTAATGTCACTACTGTTGAGGTAGTGCAGCGTAATACTTTAAAATAAGAAAAGTCAATTCTGAGGAAAATTCCATACATGAGAATAAAAATAACAGGAATAACGCACCAAAACACAGACTAATTGGTACAGCCTCAGGTGAAATCTGTCCCCGTTTTTTTTAATTAAAATGTCCTATCACTCACTGTGACCTCCACCTCCAAGTTCAAGCAAGTCTCCTGGCTCAGCCTCCCGTGTAGCTGAGACTACAGGCATGTGCTACCATGCCTGGCTAGTTTTTGTATTTTTAGTAGAGATGAGGTTTCACAATGTTGGCCAGTGTGGTCTTGAACTCCGGGCCTCAAGAGATCCACCTGCCTCAGCCTCCCAAAGTGCTCGGATTACAGACATGAGCCACCACACCCGGCCCTGGAGATCACGGTTTTCTCCCCACTTTTTATGACATGTTTTAGATGTTTTTAAAATAATTAATGACTTTTAGCTCACTTGAAAATTTCCAACACTTTGTGTGCTAACAAAATCGGCTCCATCTATGTTGCACAGCAATGGGACCACATGGCAGGTACGGAGTTTGAATAGAGTTATTACACAAGGCCTGAGTGGAAAAGTGTAATATGCTTATAATAGGTATAACTAGAAAATTGTCTGAATTAAGGTCATAATTATGTTCCATTAAACTTAGATTTACACTTACATATAGGTTCTAAATGTGGGTTAAATATGATGGATTGACCACAAATTTATTTTCTCTTCCTTCTGAAATCTCATGAGAGTTAGTCATAAAATAAACATTATACACAGAACCAGGAGACAGGATTGACAGCAGATGATTCTGAGTCAATGTTGCAAGGTGGCAAGCAGATAGAGGAGTGGTAACTGACATAAAAGCACAACCCTGGTGCCCACAGGGAGTGACCTGAACAGAAACAAGCAATGCCGTGTATTTTGAAGAACCCAACACAGTCTCCGAAATCATAGCACATGGTACCTGGGAAGGTAGGGTGAAACACAACAGAGCCAGCAAGGTCAATAGTAAGTCTGTGGTTAGAACCGCAGGTCCACCTATCCTCCCATCTTAGAAGGAATGTGGATGTGTATTCCCTGGATATATTACACCTGAAGGTTTCTGAGCTCAGACCCACCAGGGATGAAACCTGGGAAATGGGAGAAAATGGCACACACAAAGGGAAACTCAACCTTGCTTCCCAACCCTGCTTCCAGAAAACCAGCAGCCATGCTTGCACCGCCCAGGCGAACCATGGCAAAGAAAATACCCTCATTCCCTCGTATAATACACTGATGTTCCTCAAAGGAAAAGCTGCCTTGACATCCAAATCCCTACAGTGAGACCCCTCAGTGAAAAAAAGTCCTGCTTTCAATGAGAGAAAGCCAAAGACCACCACACATTTGAGCAAAGCCTCCAATGGAAGATCAAAAAAACAGGAAAAAGGAATTCCTGGGACCAGTAAAAATTCAGGAGCAAAACTTTTTTAAAAATCTTAAAACACCCTTAAGGAGATTTTTAAAAATACAATAGAACAGTTAGCATGGACAGTCAAAGAATCTCTAAGAAAGAGAACAAAAGAGAAACTGAAAAATCGGAGGTGAAGAAATTACAGATCAATGCAGAAATACTGGTCTAAGAGGTCCAACATCTGAATCATTAGACTAAAATAATAATAATGAAACAGAGCATACAGAAAAATTCTCTAAATTTTATTGTAGACTTAATGGCCACAATAAAATAAAAGGTCCCTAACAAGATCTGTCATACAATTTCAGAATCTCAGGGACAGAGAAGGTCTTAAAAACTTGACAGACGGAAACACTGATTACATATGACTTATCACACAATGGCAGTACTTTCAAAAACAGTACAATAAAAATGCAATAATGTCTTCAAGCCATGACATTTAGTTTTCACTCTAGAATTTTATACTTTATATGAAAGGAGGGGGTTTAAGAAAGCCCAGCTCTCTAAACATGTGTGTACATGAGCCTTTCGTCAGAAACTGCGCTCCAGCACCATTGGGGAGTAACACAAGGCAGAGGGCAATGCACAGTCTAGGACTCAGGGATCCAACATTCGTGGTCCCAGAAGATTTCAGAGAGAGCTCCCAGGCCAACAGGCGCAGGGTAACCTAGGAAAACACAGGCTATCCTGAGGAGGATAACGAAAGGCCAAGGAAACTCGCTTCAAGAAAAAAACATGGAATGTATTCTTTAGTAGATAAAGCATTTTTGATAGGCATGTGAGAAATGTTACAACTCTTGGGGAAGAATAGTTGTTAGAGAGCCAAAAGAATATAGTCAGAAAATCAATTCCACACACACGAAAATGAAGGATATGAAAACAAAGAGACCAGCAGAAGACTAATGGTCATATTTGGCTTTCTGAGCCATCATGAGCTAGGACAAGGGAGGTTACCTGGGAGAAGAGCAGAAGTGTTGTTTCAGAAATATTTAAGAGAAAGAATGAAGGCTGTACAAGGAGGAGGCTCACTCACAACATTATATGACTCAGCAGTGAATGATATGTGCATAGTCATAATTATGTAAATATCAATTCATGATTAAATTAAAATGTCTTACAGCTGAAAGAAATGGGAGGGAAATAAGGTCACAGTGGAGTGAGGATGCTATGCTTTCAGCTGCTATGACAGGGAGTGGGCAGAAAGTGTTGAAAATGGACTTAGCTATTTTCAATTTTATTTGATTTTAAATGATTAAATATTTAAGGCAGATCTTTATATCACAACTGAAATATTTAAATTTAACTTAAATATCAGACAGCCTTAAAAATGGGCACAGTAAGTTAAAGACTTTCCTGCATAAATCTGACACTTAGGAAAATAGAAAAGAGTTAGAAAATTCACCTAAAAAGGATCATGCTAACAGCACTGGGTCCCTGTTACATTTCTAAGGAATCATGACAGATCGACTTTTAATTTAAACAATTAATTTCTTAACTTTTCGAAAGTTTACTCACAGAATATATGCGAAAGCTTCTCCTCTTTTCTTGCACTAAAAGTAAAAATATAACTAATCAATTTTGGTATAATAAAATACCATAGAATAAAAGTAGTTGCTAGTTATCTCATCATCACTATATAAAACAAGATACATCTGATTATCGCTATATAAAAAATCAATTAAAAAATTTTAATTTAAACAAAATTTAACATTTAAATAATCTGGCATGATGAATCTCTGAGTGTAAAATCTGAAAACACAGTTTTACTTCTTGACCTAACACATATTCTATTACGTTCAAATGAAAGAATCCCCGTGTAGATAAGGAAAGGCAAAACAAATTAGGGAATGTCTGTGATTACATTTCAACATCGCACGCTTGAAATGTAATCCCCAGGGTTTGAGGTGGGGAAGTCTTTGGATCACGGGGGCAGATCCCTCATGAATGCGTTAGTGCCATCCCCTTGGTGATTAGTGAGGTCCTGCTTTGAGTTCATGGAGGATCTTTTTGGGGTTTTGTTGTTGTTACTGTTGTTGTTCTGAGACGGGGTCTCACTCTGATGCTCAGGCTGGAGTACAGTGGCGTGATTATGGTTGACCGCAGCCTTGACCTCCTGGGCTCAAGTGATCCTCCCACCTTCCCCTCCAGAGTAGCTGGGGGTGCAGGCATGCACCACCACATCTGGCTAATTTTTAAATGTTTCATAGACACAGGGTCTCACTCTGTTGGCCCAAGGTGGTCTCAAACTCCAGGCTCAAGTGATCTGCCCATCTTAGCATCCCAAAGTGCTGGGATTGCAAGTGTGAGCCACTGCACCTGGCCTGATCTGCTGATTTAAAAGCCTGCAGCACCTCCCACTCTCTCTTGCTCCTTCTCTCACCATGTGAATGATGACTTCACCTTCCACCAAGATCATTAGATTCTTGAGGCCCTTGCCAGAAGCACATGCTAGCACCACACCTCCTGTACAGCCTGTAGAACCGTGAGCCCATAAAGCCTCTTTTCTTTATAAATTATCGCGTCTCAAGTATTCCTTCATAAAAATGCCAATATCTGGGACAGATGAGAAATTTAGCTAATAAAAACGTTTACCTATTGTATTTCTGAACCCCTATGCAGCAGTGTTTTGTTTTCTCATTCTACATTTACACATAGCTTACTTTCATTATCAGGATCTAATAGCTGACAGCTCTAAGAACCAGTTTCTGGCCAGGAGTCAATCGTGAGATGCGCTAGAATATCTGGCAGCATCCCGAATGACTTCTCGGTCATCTAGTCATACATTACTGATAAAATAAATGGGTCTTTACTCAACTGAAAGGTAGCCTACCTTAAACTTAAATGTCAAAATGAGTATGCCAACCTAACTGAACAGGGTATCCTCAGCACACACAATCATTTTGTTCTACCAATGTCCAAAGAATAAAAGCTCCAAAGAGGGACTTGGGCCACACTTTCTTCCCTACAATACCTCCTCCTTTGAAGTTGAACTGGTCTCATTGACACACATTTCTAACCACTGAAGTGACAGGGGCAGGGGATTGGTTTTCTTCTACTTCCGTACATTCTATGTGTGAGAAGCCCATGGCTCTTGGAAGAAACTGAGAAATTTAAGAATCCTAACCAGAAATTACTAGCTCAAGTCAGACAAAGTCCTCGCAAACTATGAAAATGTAGGTGAACGACCCCTTTTTCTTGTGCTGCATTAGTTCTGATGTTATTCTAGAACCCACAGTTCTTGTATTCTTGTCGTTAAAATTAACTGAAAAACACGGGGTATGGCTTTTTGAAAATAGAGTAAGATAACAGAACATTATGAAACATAAGCAACAGTACAGAAAAATCCTACAGTTCTAATTCTCATCCTAAAACAGGCAGGATATGGAAACTTTACACTAGTTTCACACACTAAGGCTAATATGGAAAACAGCACAGGGCATGTTACGTTTCTATTACATTGCAATGAAAAAGTTGTAGCATCCACTTGGATGTGACTGTGGTTAGAGCACTGTGAAAAAGGAGGCCAACATCACAGATCCAATCTAGAACAATGGATTCTTTTGATTTGCTGCAGTGAAATCCAAGCTGTGGCCTAAATCCTATCAGTCATTATTAAAACATACTCTTTAGAGCAAGGGAAAAATGTCAAAGACGTATGAAGAAAAAGGCATAAATCCGTGACTACTACACTAAATCATGTGGCCAATTAATTGTGTTGGTGAAAATGTCACCAAATGTGTAAACACAAAGTCTGTATGTTTCCAAAAACAGTGACAACTAAAGGAAATTATATCACATGTGAAAATAAGTAAATCTATGAAAAGTTGAACATTTTTAACTAATATCTGAGTTTCTCTAAATACTCTCTGTTATATACAAGACAGAAAATGTTTAGGTTTTCCTTGAAAGCAGAAATAATATTGTCTTACCACTCATTTGATACTTTCTCAGGAAGAGTGTGCTTGCCCTTGGACGGTCAGAAGCAAGACCTGTAGAGGAAGAAGAGGAAACACTGTCATAAGTGAGGTGAGTACAAAAGATTCTTTTTAAAGCGACATAGCCATTTTAATCACTTTTACAGTCTTGAGAAAAGCTTTTAGTAATAAATGTCAAGAAAATAAAGGCACCAATGTCCCAATTCTACTGGAGAATACAAAAATCACAGAATCTCTCCATGCATGTGGAGTAAAACCGGGCTGGGACTGGAACTTCTTTTTCAAACTTGCACCTAAATAAACGGATGCAACGTTCAGATGAATCACATATATGCCCTCCTCCCTCTACTTATCAAATATAACCACCTTCCTCTAGGCTGCTATTACCAGCACATTTCAGGGAAAGTCTCAAGCAGGAAGAGATGCTGTGGTCAATTCCTGTGGTCAGACACCAGCTCAGTATTTCAAATGTCTTAAAACAAAGAGCTGTCTTGGGCAAAAACAATTTTTTAAACAGACAAAGTCTCACTCTGTTGCCCAGGCTGGAGTGGTGCAATGGTGAGATGGAGCCAGCATAACTCACTGAAGGCTCAAACTCCCGGGCTCCAGAGATTCTCTTGCAGCTGGGACTGTGGGTGTAAGCCACCATACCCGGCTATTTTTTAACCATTTTTTTGTGGAGACAGGGTCAAATGAGACATACTTGTAAATGTGTAATAAATCCTCAAAAATGAAATGAAGAGTCTATTTTGGGCTGTCATCAAACACTACCCATCTTCTACCTGGTGTGTGAAAGCACTCAGAGGCTTACTTTACGCCACCAAACAAGGACTTTCAAAAGTCCTTTCATGCTTTGTGTATAAAGGCAGAATTCATTCATATACTATCTTTGTTCATTCTTTCACCATTTTTTTTAATATTCTGAGAGAACGATATCTTTCAGCTACAAAGTCACATTCATCATGAAACTTAATTATTCTAACGTTTAAATAAATTAAGAGACCAACCAAAGTAAACAGAAGAGCTGTAAGACACTTCCTCTACAGCAATGAAATCTGTAGCATGCGTTTTCTATTTGGAAAACTTAGCTTTCATCCAGCCTGGGGCTGAGAAAGGGGCCACAACTGGGCATTGGGGTAGGGAGGAAGAAAGAAACCACCAGACGCAGCAGGGAAAAAGCATGAAGGGTGGGGGCAGGCACGAGGCAGGGCCAGTCCTCCTGCCTGGTGCATGGGCCTGGGAAAGCTGGCTAGGGCCAGGAAGGAGGAGCCCGAGGCCGTGGATACCTCGGGGGGTTGGGGGAGGAATGAGAACTGGTATGAGTGTCAGCCAGAGGCGTGCCTGAGGGCAAACAGCATCATTCATTGCCTTACCTTTGGGCATCTCCTGGTCGCTGATGTGCTGCAGGTCATGGCCGTCGCCGGCTCCCAAATCCCGCAGGGCAGGCTCCACAGCAGTACGGTCTGGCGCTTTCGCCACCTCCCTCTCATTGATGTTATGGCTGCAGATCGGTTCTGCCCAGTGCACCCTGTGCTGGCTCTGCTTGGGTCTGGCATTGGGGAGCACCGTGATCTCTCTGCTCGGCCTCTGCTCCTCTCTGCCTTGGTCTGCACTTGTGCTCGACACTGCCTCGTCGAGGTCATAGCTGCCGGACACCGCCCCACACAGCCAGCACGGGCACCAAATGGGTCTGGCACCGGTGTTGGACTTGTTCCTTCTGTGTTGGCCTGGACCTTTGCTTGCCACCGCCCCATTGATGTCAGAGCTGAAGGACAGATCCTCAGGCCACCTACGCAGACCTCGCCTGCGTCTGCCTCTGGGGCACAAACAACAACTCAGCGTGTTCCCCATGGGGCACCTTGGGTGCGCTCCAGCAACTTGGACCTTCCCTTGCCTCCCGGTCCGCACAGTTCAGCACTTCACCTCTTTGAAACACAGGCACGCTGGCAGGGCCAGCCCCTGGCTAGGGGGCCGCACCCCACTGACAGCTCACTCCCCGCCTCAGCTGCCTCCCCTGAGATGACTGGTCTGAAGGGAACCTGCTTGATTTAAAATGGGTCTAGATACAACAAGCCTGAGAGCGGAGATTTCGGAGAAGACAGCGCAGAGGGAGTTCCTCCTTCCAGTGTTTTCTACCAACTGAAGGAGGTTGCCCTACCAACCTGGTGCCCAGGAACCAATCAGGCACAGTCTCCTCCACGAGGCGCCCTACCCACATTGTGATGTGGGAGCCCAGGCACGTGGCTCACCAGGCCCCACCCTGTTGGCAGCCCCGCCCCTACCTTTCATTCATGCTGGCTGCTGGGAGCTTTCAGGTTGCTCCACTGTGATGACGTTCCTAGAGATCATCACCTTACGATGAATTATATTAAAATGACTGTAACCCTAGTGAATGTTTACTGAGTGAATAAATTCCGTATTGTTTCCACAGCATGAACCAAGACCTTGGGCTGCCATGGGGTCCTCGGGCTGAATTGAACTCTGGCAGGGGCAGTCCCCTCACTCTCGATTGATCAGAAGGCTGCATGTGCTCTACATGTTAGAAGTAACCCTGTGAACTGGGACGTCCAGACTCCAAATGATTAGTAACATTTGCTTTGAGTTTTTAAAAAAGCTTTATTCGTCTAACAGTTGGGTTATTAAAAGGTATCTCCGTAAAATAAGGCACTTTGGCTTTACTTTCTATAAACAGTTTCATCGAACACTGACTGTCACATCAGAAATCAATGTGTTCTGACTTGTCTGTGTTATCTGCAGAATCAGTTTTTTTTATCTTCAATTAGTCTTAGTGTGGTATGTAACAGAATCAAATGTTTCTAGTATCTCAAAAGCATGTTCCCTATTTGATTATTTTTTCATAGAACCCAGGTCTCGCCCTGTTGCCTGAGCTGGTCTCAAACTCCTGGCCTCAAGCAATCCTCCTGCCTCAGCCTCCCAAAGTGTTGGGATTATGGGCGTGAGCCAGCACACCAGGTCTGAAAATCTGTTTCCTAAGGAGTAATGTAGAATACATAACATCCTTAAATATACCACAGCCTTCTCCAACTAAGCCAAATTCTTTAAAAGTTCTATAATATTTAAGATTCAGTTTACTGTATTTCAACCTCCCCTAGAAACAATGTATTAAATCTTAGAACGCCCGTGCCATAACCTCACTTTTATGACAATTAGCGAAATATTTCATGAGCTTGGTAGAATAACTTGAAATGAAGTGGTAAATGAAAAAAATTAAAATACATATCCTGCATTTTATTCAATGATGTATGTCAAAGATAGTAACCTAGACTAAAATATCGAATTCAATTAGAAGATGTCTCAAGCCACAAGATTTAACAATAAACAACATTGGGTCTAGGTAACAATCCCCAGCTGGTTCTGGGAAGCTCTAGCCCTGTGTGGTACTATGCTATAAAGATAGCGTCTCTTTTCACATTCAGGGTTGGCTTATCCCTGAAGGTAGGATGGAGTCAGTGTCACTGCACCTTCATGACCCATCGTATTTACCACACTTTACATTTCTTTCCTAAGTTAAATACACATCTTTTTGGGAGAAGACAGAGCACTACGTGATATGAAATACTAACCAAATAAGCACACAAAGAAAAACACAGATAAATAATAAAAACATTCAACTGCTGAAACACAGAAACATTAAGACATCTCAGTTTTCTTTTCCCAATGCTTGCAACACCCCCATCCATCACCGTATGAAAACATGGGAAACAGCACATAGTATGACATGGGAAAGTTACATCTCGACACCATGGAAAACAGTTTTAGAGCTCAACCTTAATTTTCTACAGTTTCTAGCCTAGTAGCCAGTAGGTATTTTTCCCGATCCTCTCCCTCCTTCCAGTCTCTACCCTCCAGTAAGGACTAGAGTGTGTTTTTCTTCTATATGTCTTCACATCATTTAGCTCCCACTTATAATTGAGAACATGTGGTGTTTGGTTTTCTGTTTCTGTGTTAGTTTGCTAAGGATAAAGACCTTCAGCTCCATCTAGGTTTTTGCAAAGGACATAGTATTATTCTTTTTCCTAACTGCATACTATTCCATAATATATACATACCAAATATTCTTTATTCAGTCTACCATTGAGAGGCATTTAGATTGATTTCACCTTTCCTATTGTGAATAGTGCTGTAATGAATATACACGTGCATGTGTCTTTACCACAGAATGATTTATATTCCTTGGGGTATATACCCAGCAATGCGATTCCTAAGTCGAATGGTAGTTCTGCTTTTAGGTCTTTGAGAAATTGTCACACAGTTTTCATCAATGGTTGAACTAATTTATCCTTCCACCAACAGGACATAGGTATTCCTTTTTCTCTAAAATATTGCAGCATCTGTTATTTTTTGACTTTTTAGTAATAGCCATTCTAACTGGTGTGAGATAGCATCTCATTGTGATTTTGATTTGCATTTCTCTAATGATCACTGACATTGGGCTTTTTCTCCTATGCTTGTTGGCCACAAGTATGTCTTCTCTTGAAAAGTGTCTGTTCATGACCTCTTTTCACTTTATAATGTTTGTTTTTTCTTATAAATTTGTTTAAGTTTCTTATAGATGCTGAACATTAGACTTTTGTCAGCTGTGGTTTGCAAAAAATTTTCTCTCATTCTGTAGGCTGTCTGTTTATTCTGTTAATAGTTTCTTTTGCTGTACCGAGGCTTTTAGTTTAATTAGATCCCATTTGTCAATTTTTGCCTTTTGGTATCTTCATCATAAAATCTTTGTCTATGTCTATGTTGAGAATGGTATCGCCTACATTGTATTCCAGGAGTTTAATAGTTTTGAGTTTTACATTTAAGTCTTTATTCCATCTTGAGTTAATTTTTGTAAATGCTGTAAGGAAGGGGTCCACTTTCAATCTTCTGCATATGGCTAGCCACTTATCCCAGCACTCTTTATTGAATAGAAAATCATTTCTCCATTGCTTGTTTCATCAGTTTTGTCAAAGATCAGATGTTTGTAGGTATGCAGCCTGATTTCTGGGCTCTGAATTCTTTTCTATTGGCCTATGTGTCTGTTTTTGTACCAGTACCATGCTGTTTTGGTTACTGTAGTATAATCTGAAGTCGGGTAATGTGATGCCCCCACTTTTGTTCTTTTTGATTATAATTGCCTTAACTATTCAGTCTCCTTTTGAAATTGAGATGTTACAAACCATTCAAAATATCAAGGAATCCAAGAGCTTGTTTTTGAAAAAATTAATAAAATAGACTACTAGCTAGCCTAATAAAGAAAAGAGAGAAGATCCAAATAAATACAATTAAAAACAACAAAAGGGATATCGCCACTAACCCCAAAGAAATACAAACAACATCAGAGTATATTATGAACACCTGTATGCACATAAAATCGAGAAAAATTTGATAAATTCCTAGGACATATGCACCCTACCAAGACACAATGAAAAAGAGATTGAATCCCAAAAAAGACCAATAATGAGCTCTGAAATCAAGGCAGTAACAGTTTATCAACCAAAAAAATCCCAGGGCTAAATGGGTTCACATCTGAATTTTACCAGATGTATAAAAAAGAGTTGATACCATTTCTGCTGGAACTGTTCAAACAGTGAGAAGAAACTCTTCCCTAACTCCTTCTACAAGGCCAGCATGATCCTGATACCGAAACCTGGCAAAGATACAATGAAGAAAGAAGATCTCAGGCCATTATCCTAATGAACATAGATGAAAAAATCTCAACAAAGGCCAGACGGGTTGGCTCACAGCTGTCATCCCAGCACTTTGGGAGGCCAACGCAGGTGGATCACGAGGTCAGAAGATCAAGACCATCCTGGCCAACATGGTGAAACCCCATCTCTACTAAAACACCAGAAAATTAGCTGGGTGTGGTGGCGCACACCTGTAGTCCCAGCTACTCGGGAGGCTGAGGCAGGAGAATTACTTGACCCTGGGAGGCGGAGGTTGCAGTGAGCAGAGATTGTGCCACTGCACTCCAGTCTAACGACAAGACTGAGACTCTGTCTCAAAAACAGAAAAGAAAAACCTCGACAATATACTGAGAAACCAAATCCAGCAACACATCAAAAAGTTAATCTACCATGATCAAGGAAGCTTTATTCCTGCAAGGCTGGTTCAGCATATGCAAATCAATAAATGTGATTCTTCACATAAAGAGAACTAAAACCAAAATCCACATGGTCATGTCAAAGGATGCAGAAAGGCTTTCCATAAAATTCAGCATCTATCATGTTAAAAATCCTCAAAACACTAGGCATTGAAGAAACATATCACAAAATAGTAAGAGCCATCTATAACAAACCCACAGCCACCATCATAGTGAATGGGCAAAAGCTGGAACCATTCCCCAGAGAACCAGAACAAGACTAGGATGTCAACTGTCATCCTATTCAACACAGTACCAGAAGTCCTGGCCAGAGCAAGCAGGCAAGAGAAAGAAAGAAAAGCCATCCAACCAGGAGAGAGGAAGTGAAATATCTCTTTTCACAAACAGTGTAACAACATGATTCCATACCTAGAAATCCCTTCAGTCCCTGCCCAAAGGCTCCTAGAACAGATACATAACTTCAGTTGATTATCAAGTCTCAGGATACAAAAGCATTGTACAAAAAGTGGCATTTTTTCTCTCCAAGGTTATGGAGAAAAAGGAACGTGTATATCCTGCAGGTGGGAGTGTAAATTAGTTCAACCACTGTCAAAAACTAGGTGGCAATTCTTAAATGGTATTCCTCAGTGGCATTTCTATACACCAACAATGTCCAAGCTGAGAGGCAAATCCATTCTGCACCCCCACTCGTAACAGCCACAAGAAGAACGAAATACCTAGGAATACAACTAACCATGGAGGTGAAAGATCTCTACAGTGAGAATCATAAAACACTGCCGTAAGAAATCGGAGATGATGGCTGGGCACCGTAGCTCTTGTCTGTAATCCCAGCACTCTGGGAGGCCGGGGCAGGCAGATCACCTGAGGTCAGGAGTTCGAGACCAGCCTGGCCAACCTGGAGAAACGCCATGTCTACTAAAAATACAAAGTTAGCCAGGTGTGGTGGTGCATACCTGTAATCCCAGCCACTCGAGAGGCTGAGGCAGGAGAATCACTTGAACCTGGGAGGTGAACGTTGCAGTGAGTTGAGATCATGCCATTGCACTCCATCCAGCCTGGGGAAAAAGAGTGAAACTCCATCAGAAAGAAAGAAACAGAAAAGAAAGAAGGAAAGAAGAAAGAAAAGAAAGAAGGAAAGAAGAAATAAAGAAAGAAGGAAAGAAAGAGAAAAAAGAAAGGAAAGAAGGAAGAAAGAGAGAGGGAGGAAGGAAGGAAAGTTGAATGAAGGAAGGAAGGAAGGAAAGAAAGAACGAAAGAGAAAGAGACCAGAGATGATACAAACCAATGGAAAAACATTCTATGCTCGTAAATGGGAAGAAATAATGTCAAAATGGCCTCACTGTCCAAAGTAATTTACAGATTCAATACTATTATATCAAACTACCAAGTCATTTGTCACAGAATGAGAAAAGAAAGTATTTTAAAACTTATGTAAATCCGAAAAACAGTCCGAATAGCCAAAGATATCTTAAACAAAAAGAATACAGCTAGAGGCAACACACTACCCAACTTTTCAAACTATGCTGGCTAGCCATATGCAGAAGATTCAAACTGGACCACTTCCTTTTATCATAGAAAAAATCAATTTAAGATGAATTAAGGACCTACATTACAAAATCTAAAACTATGAAAATCCTAAACAAAAACCCTCCAGGACATACCATTCTGGACATAAACCATAGCAAATTTTTCCAGACTAAGTCTCCAAAAGCTATCGCAACGAAAACATAGACGCATGGGACCTAAGGAAGCTAAAGAGATTATGCTCAGCAAAAGAAACTGTCAACAGAGTAAGCAGACAACCTGCAGAATGGGAGAAAAATTTTAGCAAACGATGCACCTGACAAAAGTGTCATCCAGAATCTATAAAGAAATTAACACAATTTTAATCAGAAAACAAACAACTCCATTAAAAAATGGACAAAAGACAAGAACGGACACTTGTCAAAAGACATTCATGGGGTCCGCGGCGGCCGGGCAGGCAGGAGCCGACAGGGCGAGGCGAAGGCCGCGGCGGGGGTCGGGGGCGGGAATCGAGCACGGGGAGGGAGAGGTAGGCTGGGTGGGTGGGCGCGAGGTCCGGGCCGGGCGGGGCGATGCAGGAGGCGCCGCTCTCCATCCCCATCAAGCCCAACAACTTCCCCGCCGAACGGTGGCGTCTGGTGAACAGCCCGTGGTAACGGTCCACCCGCTGGGACGGCCGCGGCGAGGGGCTGCTCATCCACCAGCCGCTCTTCGAGGTGGAGCTGCTCAGCCCGCCCGGGCCGCGGGGCGGCGGCGGGGCCGCGGGGCCGGGGCCGAGCCCGGGCTCTTCACAACCACCAACTTCACCAGCTTCGTCCGCCAGCTCAACGTCTCCGGCTTCCACAAGGTGGTGCAGGGCGGGCCGAGGCCGGGTCCGGGCCGGGGCCGGGGGGCGGCGGGACGGCGGGACCGGCCCCTCCACCACTTCCGCAGCCCGCACTTCCGCCGCGGCCAGCCGCAGCTGCTCGTGCACCTCCAGCGCCGGACAGGCGCCAACGAGGCCAAGCTGGCGGCCGGCCTGGAGGTGCCCTGCCGCCCGCCCAGCGGTTTCCAGTGGCTTCCAGCGGCTGCGCATCACCTTGGCCTCCGCCTCCGCCGCCTCGGCCGCCGCCCCGACCCCGCTGCAGCACCAGGAGCCGCCACCTGCGCCGCAGATTCCCGGCCCGAGCCGCACGGACCAGGGGCTGTAGGACAGTTTCACCGGTCACTTCGGCGACGTGGTTTTCCCCCTTACTCCTACGTAACTTCATCCCACGACCGCAGTACTTTTCCCATGAAAAGTTTAGATCGGACCCCAGTTCCTCGCAGAATATGGCAGAACTCCCTTGGAATGCACCCCGGGCAAGTGGAGACATCGCCCACGTTTTCAGAGAAACGGTAAGGTTACAGAGCCATTTACTTGGCCTGTTCTCTGTGGAGAGGATATTTCCTGTTACAGCCCAAGTGTGAGATCGACTTTATGTTCCCCGCCTCCAGATCCTGTTTTGCTGCCTCAGTGGTGCGTGCCTGTTGTCCCGTCTGCTTGGGATGCTGAGGTGGGAAGACTGCTTGAGCCTGGGAAGCGGAGGCTGCAGTGAGCAGTGACCTCGCCAGTCACCAGGCGTGGTGACTCATGCCTGTAATCCCAGCACTTTGACAGGCTGAGGCAGGTGGATCACTTGAGGTCAGGAGTTCAGGGCCAGCCTGGCCAACATGGTGAAACCCCATCTCTACTAAAAATTTAGAAAAATAAAAAATTTGAAAAATAAATTTTTAATAATAAAAACTATAGAAGCGAAAGTGAATTTCTAAATGACATACTAGTTCATAAAATGTATAATTTAAAATTTAATAATATTTAAAATGTAGAGTTCCTGTAAAGGTAAGAAAAAATAGTTGAGACAATAGGAAATTATAATTGCTTATTAGTATTTTAACTTATAATTTTCAGTGACTATAAGGTTTTGGTAAGTATAGTCAAATAACAACCTCCCGATTTTTTATTGCGAGAAGGAAAGAAGAAAAAAGGGAAAGAAATTAAACCTCAACTTAGTTTTCGAATTGTTCTTTTTTTTTTTTTTTTAGAGACGGAGTCTCACTCTGTCGCCCAGGCTGGAGTGCAGTGGCGTGACCTTGGCTCACTGCAACCTCGGCCTCCCGGGTTCAAGCAATTCTCCTGCCCCAGCCTCCTGAGTAGCTGGGATTACAGGCACGCGCCACCATGCCCTGCTAATTTTTTGTATTTTTAGTAGAAACGGAGTTTCATCATGTTGATCAGGCTGGTCGCAAACTCCCAACCTCGTGATCCACCCCTGTTCGGTCTTCCAAAGTGCTGGGATTACAAGTGTGAGGCACTGTGCGTAGCCCAGATTATTCTTTAATATAAGTTAATAGGCAAAGGCTGATAAGAAAAGAAGTTCATAAATGACAGGTTCGATTTTAGTTAAGGAAAAAAAAAGGAGACATGATTATCACCTGTACCTTTCATGAATCTAAAGTGATTGAGCGTGAATTCGGTAGTGTAAGTGGTCCTCAACTCTGAATTAACTGTGGGAGGTTTGCTTGTGTTACTCAGAAAGCTTGTTCTTTACTTGCCAGCCAGGTGCGGTGACTCACACCTGTAATCCTAGCACTTTGAGAGGCTGAGGCAGGTGGATCACTTGAGGTCAGGAGTTCAGGACCAACCCGGCCAACATGGTGAAAGCTTATCTATACTAAAAATACAAAAATTATAAGAAGAAAAGCAAGCATCATGCATCATTTCTTACATGCTAATTGTGTAAAAGTGCTATACGTTCCTTTATGGAACATGGCTTTTATATAGTTGATTTTTGTGGGTTCTTTTTGCCTTTTGTTTAAAAATATGCATTGCTTTATGTCAGAGCTTGTACTTTTAAGTTTTAAACCACATAGTTTATGGTATCTACATTTGTCTTTAAAATAGTTTTCATAGAGTTCTTTCACGTCTAATCAAGGCTGATTGTTTTTAGGTCTGCTGTGTAGCTGTGGTATTAGGGTTTCTTTCTATTGTACTCCTAGGATAATCCTACTCTTGATTTATTTATTTTTATTTTTTGAGACAGAGTCTCGCTGTATCACCCAGGCTGGAGTGCAGTGGCCCAATCTTGGCTCACTGCAACCTCCACCTCCTGGGTTCAAGTGATTCTCCTGCCTCAGCCTACCTAGTAGTTGGGATTGCAGGTATGTACCACCATGCCCGACTAATTTTTTTATTTTTAGTAGACATGGGGTTTCACCACGTTGGCCAGGCTGGTCTCGAATTTCTGACCTCACGTGGCTCCACCCAACCCAGCCTCCCAAAGTGCTGGAATTACATGGGTGAGCCACCGTGTCTGATACCACTCTTAATTACATACTGTGCTTGTGTTCTTTTTAAACCATGTGTTTTTAACTTTTGGAACAAATTTCCCAGAAATTATTTTATTCCTGGAAAAACTTTTTCAGAAAAGACGTAATGGTACATTTCCTATCTTCTGTTGTGGAGAGTGCCTTTGGTTTCATTCACACTTTAATTTTGTTCTCATTCTTCATTGGCATTTAGTGGGTCCTTTCCATCTGAAAGTTGAAGTCTTCAACTCAGGGCAGTTTTTATCGATTATTGCTTTCCTCCCATTTTCTTTTTTATTTTTTTCATTCTGGCATGCCTATTAGATCATGTTAGGATTGCATTGTACAGAAACTGACACTGTATTGGAAGAAGGAAAAAGATAGGCAGTACAAGGATAGTGGCTCAATGTTGTCATCAAAGACTCATTCTCTTCTCTTTCTTCCACCTTAAGATGTGGCTTTTATCCTCATTGTTCTGAGGTAGTTCTTACTGCATCTCTAGGCATCCTATACACATTTCAAGAAGGAAGAAGTGGGAAGAGCAGAGAGACTAAGGGGCATGCCAGCTATGCTTCTTCCCTTGAAAAAATCTTTGGGAGGCCGAGGTGGGTGGATCATGAGGTCAGGAGTTTGAGACCAGCCTGATCAACATGGTGAAACGCCATCTCTACTTAAGAATACAAAAAATTAGCCAGATGTGGTGTCGAACACCTGTAATCCCAGCTACTGAGGAGGCTGAGGCAGGAGAATTGCTTGAACCCGGAAGGCAGAGGTTGCAGTGAGCCGAGATCATGCCACTGCACTCCAGCCTGAGCAACAGAGTGAGACTGAAGGAGGGAAGGAGAGAAGGAAGAAAGGAGGGAAAGGGGAAGGGGAAGGGGGAGAGAAGGAAGGGAGGGAGGAAGGAGAAAAGAAAAAGAAAGGAAAGGAAGGGAGGGAAGGGAAGGAAAAAAGGAAGGGAGGGAAGGGAAGGGAAAAGGGAAGGGAGAAGGAGGGAGGGAGGAAGGAAGAGAGAGAGAAAGAGAGACAGGAAGAAAAGGAAGGAAGGAAGAAAGAAAAAAAGAAAAAAGGAAAGAGAGAAAGAGAAAGAGAAAGAATTTTTCTGGAAACCTTACCCAGTTTCACTTACCTGTCATTGGCCAGAGCTAGATGCTACCTCACCTGCAGGGAGAGTCTTGAGAATGTATACCTATTGAGGCATGTTGCCCTCTTTATCAGAACAAGATTCTGTTCTTAAGGAAGATGGGGAGAAAGAATAATGGGTAGATAATTAGCAGTTCTGTCATAGGAATATCTATTAGGTTTCTTGGATCTTTCCTTCATTTTTCGTCACTTTCTGTCACATACTCTTTTTGTCTTTTTGTTTTGTTCCCGGAAATTTTGTTGATTTCCCTTTCTACATCTATAATTTTGTCATCAGGCATGTCCACTATTTAGCTTATCTTTAACACCTAAACTTTATTTAGCTTGTTTTCTAATTTCTTGTTTTTCATAGAATTTTAAAAATACTTTTATTATGATAAAATATAACAATTTACTATTTTAACCATTTATAGATGTACAGTTTAGTGGCATTAAGTATATATATATTGTATTCTTAACCATCACTACCATACAGTTCCCAATCTGAAACTTATCTTCCCAAACTGAAACTCTGTACCCATTAAACAATGACTGCCATTTCCTTCTCCCCCATGCCCCAGCAACCACCATTCTACTTTATCTCTGTGTGAATTTCAGTACTCTAGGTACCTCATATAAATGGAATCATAAAATATTTGTCCTTTTGGGTCTGGCTTATTTTACTTAACACAGTGTCCTCAAGGTTTCATCCATGTTGTAACATGCATGAGAATCTCCTTTTTAAGGTTAAATAATATTCCATTGTATGTATATGCTGTAATTTGTTTATTCATGCATCCATCATGCATCCATCATGCATCCATCATGCATCCATCAGTGGATACTTGGGTTGCTTTAACCTTTTTGCTATTGTGAATAATGCTGCGTGGTATATAAATATCTGTCTGGATCTCTGCTTTCATTTCTGTTGGATGTATGCCTAGAAGAATTGCTGGATCATATGTTAATTCTATTTTAATTTTTTTGAGGACTCACTTTATTGTTTTCCATAGCAGCACCACCATTTTACATTTCTACCAGGAATGTACAAATGTTCCAATTTCCCTACATCCTCATGAACACTTATCTTCTGGTTTTGTTTTGCTTTGCTTTTTATAATAATCTCATGAGTATGAAGTGGTATCTTGCTGTGGTTTTGATTTGCATTTTCTTATTGATGTGATATTGAACATCTTTGCATGTGCTTGTATATCTTTGGAGAAGTAGCTATTCAAGTCCATTGCCCATTTTTAGATTGAAGATTTTATTGTTGTTGTTGACTTGGAAGTTCTTTATATATTCTGGATATTAATCTCTTATCTGTTAATTTGCATATATTTTCTCTCATTCCATGTATTGCCTTTTCTTTCTATTGATAAAGTCTTTTGATGCACAGAAATTTTTTAATTTTGATGAAGTCCGTTTTGTCTTTTTTTCTTTAATTGTTTTTGCTTTCAATTTTGGTGTCACATCCAAGAAATTATTGCCAAAATGCAATGTTGTTAAGCTTTTCCATGATTTTTGAAACAGTTTTATGATTTTAGTGATTGTATTTAGATATTTGATCCATTTTGAGTTAATTTTTGTGTATGGAGGAAGATAAGGGTCCAGCTTCATTTTTTGGGTAATTCGAATTATGCTACATTTTGTATATACTCAGTTTTCCTATTACAACTTGTGGAAGATACCGTACTTTACCTTGAATTGTCTCCGAGTCATTGAAAAAACATTGACTGTGTGTATATGTTTATTTCTGAGCTTTATTTTTATTCCTTTGGTCTGTATATTTGTCTTTATGTCAGTACCATACTCTTAATTATTATAGCTTTGTAATAAGTTTTGAAATCAAGAAGTGTGGGACCTCTAATTTTGAATTTTTTCAAGATTGTTTTGGCTAATTGGAAATCCTTGGGATTCATGTGAATTTTAGGATGGGTTTTTCGATTTCTGCAAAAATAATCTTATTTTTAATGATAATCTCCTTTCAGATCTCTCAAGGTATGCATTAGAATGTTTTTGTTTGTTGAACTACCTTTGTTCTTCCTGTGTTATTTTGACTCTTCTCTCTGCCTTTTATTTT